ACGCTATTCAGATTACATTTTCAAAAGCTGCGAAAATCGACAATTATATCAAGTAACACAACCCTATAGGTTAGCATATTCAGTAAAGTTCTGATGATCCAGATATACCTCTGGAAATGTGGGCGTTTACTGTCGATTCTAGCTATAAATGGCTTTTAGATGCCTTGAAATGTTTATACATTCTAGTAGAGCTCGGCGGCAAATTTCGGCCGAAAAATTGTCATCAAATGGGAATATCTTCTTCCGGGAGACATGGAATGTGTGAAATTATGGGTCAGAAACATCTGAGCTTGAGCTATTCTCCTCAACATCCTGCATCATCCTCGCACCATTCAAAATAAAAGACAAATTGATGCGATAAACTGCAATTTTGAAATAAACAGTACATATGCTGACTAGAACTTCATTCTCATTTTGGCCTGCCAAAGCAGTTAAGTGATCCGCATCCGGCAGCACTCTCGCAATCGCAATTGGTTCCAGAGGAGGAAGCTGAAACAGAGATCAGATAATAGTGAAATGACCAGATTCCGACGAAGAGCGGTACTTCCACATCTTCATTGTTCTTGTTCGAAATAACCCTCATGTGTTGTTCCCTTATAGCGGATTTTCAACGTGGCATGCCTGGAACTAACGCTAGGAAGCCGTTTGCTTTCTGAAGTGCCTCAAAATTGATTTTGAAATTTTTGTGGTTTAGATCTGCGTTTCTCCAGTTACTTTTGCGTTTCCGTGGTGAAATCATCTGCATTCATCTGCTTGGACCGTGCCCCTTTCCACAGAGTTTCCAGTCCACAGAGTTTCCCTTCCCACAGAGTTTCCAGTCGTTCGTCTAATTTCCTGAATTTTTATGCATTTTGTGCTGTGTAACAGCAGCACAAAACGTGTATTGTAGCGGGATTGTCTGTGTGTATGTGTGTGTGTCCACAGCAGCTTGTCCGCAACTTTTAACTCGGGAATCACAAAAGCTAGGAAGCTGAAGATTTCGGCCCACCCATATGTGACCCTGTAAAATTAAATTCAGCTTCCCGGAACGTACGGATAACCCATACGGCCCCATGGAAATTTTGGCGGGTAAATTATTATCTCGAGAACGATAAAAGCCAGGAGGCTAAAATTTTAACGTGACACCTTCCGACCACATACGACTCCGTAAATTTTTGACATCCCCTTGGAAGTTTTGTCGGGAAAAATCGTCATCTCAGGAGCTAGAAGAGTCAGAAGGCTGAAATATTTTAGGAGGATGTTTCTTGCCTAAGCAGGGGCTTCACAAACCCTAATTTAGTTCCTAAGCATGTCCAGCCCTCACGCACGAACACCTGAAAGTTTTGTCGCAAAAATCACTCGAAAGTCAGAAAATTTGGGGACTGAAATTGTGGAAGCATATTCACCCTTTGAAGTTTCAAATTCAGCTTTCACGTACCAGTGCGTGAAATTTCCAGTGGGAAGTTTCGCAAATTACAGAACAGACAACATTTCAACTATTTTCGCACAAATCAAAGTGCAAAGCGGTGGAAATCATTAGCAGGCAATCGTTCGGTGGACGGAATTGCACAAAAGACATGATCGCGCCAGCTGCTCTGGTGCGCACCGCTATTTATTTCATTTCGCGCGAAAGCCTGTGAAAGCTGAGGCCTATGTAATAAAAAAAGGTTGCCTGTTTTCTTCTTTCTTATTGTTTTTAACGTTGCTATGCATCTCACATCCTAAACATGGTGTACAAAATGCAATCGAGTGGTCATCCCAAACAATGCGTATACCTTAAAACAATTTCAA